TGGTCATGTACCAGAGTAGAATTCCGGAAATACAACTTATAGTTTAGAATTCTTGCAAACAATACAATTTCCGGACTCGTTGATTGTAGGCATTTAATCCAGACGAAAATTTACCATTAGGACAATTAGTTGACCGTTTAAATGAGGGGTATTTGTGTCAAATGGACGGACAATTAGTTGACCGTCTAAATGAGGGGTATTTGTGTCAAATGGACGTACTTCGGGGCCGTAAACTCCATCCAGAACATTCAGTATATAAATTGTGTATCTTTAGACTCGGATTCACCTTGCAAGGTGGACCCGAGTCCTCAAGAAATTGGAGTACAAATCGAAATTGTGTATCTTTAGACTCGGATTCACCTTGCAAGGTGGACCCGAGTCCTCAAGAAATTGGAGTACAAATCGAACGGTTAACAAAGCAAGATTTGCTCAACAAGGACTCGGATTCACCTTGCAAGGTAGGTGGACCCAAGTCCTCAAGAAATTGATGTACGAATCGAACTGTTAACAAAGCAAGATTTGCTCAACAAGGACTCATATTCACCTTGCAAGGTGGACCCAAGTCCTCAAGATATTGATGTACGAATCGAACTGTTAACAAAGCAAGATTTGCTCAACAAGTAAAGGTCCCACCGGGAGTCGAACCCAGGTCACTGGATTCAAAGTCCAGAGTGCTAACCACTACACCATGGAACCCTTAACAATGGGGTTTGATGTACGGATCAAACTGTGTTCGACAACACCAATGTTGTTTGCCACCCAGGTTTGAGAATGTCTGCAAGACAAGCAGAGATTTGTTCAAAAAGCAAAGGTCCCACCGGGAGTTGAACCCAGGTCGCTGGATTCAAAGTCCAGAGTGCTAACCACTACACCATGGAACCCTCAATAATGGGGTTGTGGGATTTTACTTAATCGAGAGGAAAAAGATTGTGTTTTACCAATATTGCCACCCTCGATTCTCGAGTAAGTTCCAGAAGTTGGATAATAAGACGCAGGTTCTTGTCTTTCTTCTTCCATTTCCAGATTGCACTTCGGGGCAGTAAACTCCATCCAAAACATTCAGTGTATCTTTAGACTAGGGTAATCAAGGACGCACTTCAACTGGCCACAGTAAACTCCATCCAGAACATTCAGTGTATCTTTAGACACTGTTTTCCACCAATGTTGTTTGCAAGCAAAGGTCCCACCGGGAGTCGAACCCAGGTCACTGGATTCAAAGTCCAGAGTGCTAACCACTACACCATGGAACCCTTAACAATGGGGTTTGATGTACGGATCAAACTGTGTTCGACAACAGCAATGTTGTTTGCCACCCAGGTTTGAGAATGTCTGCAAGACAAGCAGAGATTTGTTCAAAAAGCAAAGGTCCCACCAGGAGTCGAACCCAGGTCGCTGGATTCAAAGTCCAGAGTGCTAACCACTACACCATGGAACCCTCAATAATGGGGTTGTGAGATTTTACTTAATCGTGAGGAAAAAGATTGTCTTTTACCAATATTGCCACCCTCGATTCTCGAGTAAGTTCCAGAAGTTGGATAATAAGACTCAGGTTCTTGTCTTTCTTCTTCCATTTCCAGATTTACACTTGTCCACTTCACGGCTGCAGTAAACTCCATCCAGAACATTCAGTGTATCTTTAGACTACGGTAATCAAGGACGCACACTCCTCTATTATGTGGTTAGTTGACCGTGAAGTGCGTCCTTGATTACCCTCATTTAAACGGTCAACTAACCACATAATAGAGGAGTGCGTCCTTGATTATTTGACACAAATACCCCTCATTTAAACGGTCAACTAACCACATAATAGAGGAGTTTTCTGCGGCCCCGAAGTGCGTCCTTGATTATTTGACACAAATACCCCTCATTTAAACGGTCAACTAACCACATAATAGACAGAGGACTAAAATTGTCCTGGTCACAATAAGTCTGACAACTATAAGTCTAGGATAAAAAATGTCTTTTACTCTCTTCGTCTGGATCAAATGCCTGTTGCTATCTTTTACTCATTTATTAGATCGAGCTGAGTTATGGAGAAATTACAATCCTACAATCAACGAGTCCTTCCTCCTTATCCGGAAATTGTACTAACACATTGAGAACAAGTAAATCAAAGGTTTAATTCATACAAGTAAAATATTCAGTTAAGTCCTGATTTTGGGAACAACAGTTTGGCTTCGAAGTCATAGGATTAGAGTTGACAAAGCTTGCACTATGAACATCTAGATTAGTCAATAGTATAAGAAGCGAAATCACTTTACTGCAATTAGCTAGAGTATTGTATTCGTACGACTTGGAACTCAAAAAGTGAGTGATATATGCAAGTAATATGACTCACCTCTCAATGAATTTCCATGAGCCCGCTTATTTGTCAGTTCAGCTGAACTGTTCTTGTTACTACTCCAACAGTGGGTATCAGTAAGAGGTCTGTCTGTTGATTCCAAATCGCCTACTAGATTAAAATCAACAAACAGCTACTTCAGTGCAAAGTCCAAATAAACCAACAGAAGTTAGATGATAGTTTCAACCTCCTATTACACAACACAAACTACCTGCTTGCATAGAGTTATCCGTCCGTGATGGCAAAGATGCAGATGTGGCACGGATTATGGGCAAGAAAACCGAATTCCTTGCCATTTCAGCATCAGGTAGTGCTGCTGGACCTTGAACAGAAGTTGGCACTTGAGAGGCACCTGAAGCTCGCCAATTATAACACAAGTAATAAGAACCATTTCCGAGTTATACCTATGAAAATCCAACCACCAAAGTTTTAATATGTATACCACTTTTCGAGGCTTTCTGAGGATACGGATGAGCAGCTTTCCTTTTTGGCCGTGGCGGAGGTAGATGTTCATTAGTGCCACTCTTTTGTACTTTCTGAAAGTATTTTTGAGCATGACTACGTATCTGCAAAAAACATCCAAAAACTCATAAGTCACAACCAGTTAGCTATGGCTAAACATGGCAGATGATTCATACAAATAGTGAATAAGTAAATAAATAACTAAAATGCAACCAGTTTCTATGAAAAGTTAACTAACAGAAGGTTAGGTAATACCTGAATCACTGTCTTCGAAGCAACAAACGCCTCTATTTTCTTCCAATCCCGATCAAAGCTGCAAGTAGTGATTGAAGTAATTACTGAATCCATTTCAATTCAAGGTAAATTTATCATAAAGAAGAAACTATTTCACATTGCAATTTGTTCTTCAAAAGTGCTTTAAGGAAGTAGGGAGCATATAACATATTTGAGCTATTCTATTCTAATCAGACCATCAAACACAGATTCTTTACTATCCATTGCAAAATAGGAGACGAATAGTTAAGCTTTTTTTTCGAAATTAGACCGACAACGCATTCAAATTCACCAAATAGTCACATTACGGCAGTCATGGACTCCAAATCATAACCCTAATTCGGAGAACTAAGGAGCAGACAATTCACTAAATTATAAACTCACAGCTGGAGTGCTTCGAGGAACTTGTCGTGCTCGGGTTCCGTCCAGCTCTCACGGGACTTGGAAATGGTGTAGGGTTTCCGGACCTTTTTCGTCGGGTCGTCGTCGGACAACGACGGCGCGTTGGAATTGGCGGCAACGGCGGGTGTTTGTTTGGAGAATGAGCCAGTGTTCTGGAGGGCCATGATTGCCAGTATGGTCTGATTAGAGAGTTTCGGGTCGGTTTTGGGTACAGAGAAACCGTGAGTTAGGTTTTCGTTAAGTATTGCGGTGTTCTTTAGGGCGTGCTTCGGGTTGTGCTCGGTTGTGGCCAAGGCGTAAACCACCGTGCCCACCGGACGGGATAAGAATAAGAGACAATAGGCCAATTTGGCAATAGGGTCCACATAATTCGGTTCAAAAATTAGTTAACCAACTATTTCATTGTTACACCGTGTTAACTAACCATATATGTCCGCATAGTCTGAATAACTAACCACAACCGTTAATCCAAATATCACCTACTTATAGTGTAACAATGATCTAAACGATTTCATCCTCACAAATATTCTGTCAGGTTGGAGCTTGGGGTCTTTAGAGTTAGGGTTCAACCTTCTTGAAAGAATGATCTAAACAATTTGAGTTTTGTATAAACAGATCATCAAACATATGTGTTTTTACTTACTATTTATCGTATTTTATTAATTGTACTAGTTTATTATTGTATTTGACTGAAGTTTACCAATACTAATTTCATTAATTGTACTAGTTTTTTGAGTTAATTACCAATTTGATCCCTTGACTATGAAAATTTCACCAATATGATCATCGACTTTCAAAAGTCCTCAATTTAGTCCCTGACTATATTTTTTTTACCCGAAATGGTCATAACTGTTAAACGTCTGTTAACTCGGGGTCAAATTGATAATTTCGTTATTGTCAAGAGACCATTTCAGTAATTAACTTTTGAAGAAAATGGTGCATTTTATGATCGAAATGGTCCATTGACTATAGCAAAATTACCAATTTGATCCCGAGATAACGGATGTTTAACGATTAGGACCATTTCGCGTAAAAAAACATAGTCAGGGGTTAAATTGATGAATTTTGAAAGTCGAGGATCAGATTAGTGAAATCCTCATAATTGAGGGAACAAATCAGTAATTAACTCATAGTTTATTGCTATATTTGAGAGTAATTTAATAATCATATACCGTTAACAAAAAAAAAAAAAAAAAAAAACTAAAAATTTCGACGAATTCAGCTCAATGGTTCAGTAGACAGTATTTGAAAAAAAGATAATAAAATTCAAACTTTGACAGTAACAATGTGAATAGTATGTAGTAGGCAAATTTCTAATAAATGCGTAGTGACATTTGATCATGTCTGTTGAGCCGTTGAGTCAAAACTAAAAACGCGTCTCCATCAAGTCCGTAACGCGAAGAAGAGCGATAACGGTACGGCATCAATCCATCCACGCTGCTGATTCTTGACTAGTAGCTTGACTCAAAGAGTTGACTTGTGACATCACTACCCATTTCCCACTATAAATCAAACCATAACTAACCACTCCAATCCACACTCCATTTTCTCACTCTTAATCTCCTCTTTCTTGGATCTCCAACTCTCTCATTACTAGCACACATCTCCAAGCTCCGCAGTTAACCCAGAAATGAAGGTCATCCTCCTCTCCCTTTCATCTCTCTTTCTTCTGTTTTTATCTTCTTTTCTTTAATTTCCCGTAAATCCACAACCATTATCTTAAGTTATACTTTAGTTAAATCCGTCTCTTCCCTTTAGTGTTCTTAGTTAATCAATTCAAACTAAAAAAATCAATAAATCAAGAGAAGTTAAAATTTGAAAGGCTAACTTTACGACCCACTTGGTTAGATTTATCCGGTTTTAATTTTATGTTTATAATATATGTTTTTTTTGTGTTAAGCACTCCACTAAACTCTGGGTTTAGCGCTGAAACATCATAGTATTCTGGGGTTGAATTTTGAGGTTTTGTTGATGATGACAGAAAGTGGTGCTGGAGCTGGACTTGGTGGATGAGAAGATCAAGTCAAAAGCCATGAAAAGGATCTCGAGCTTGGCGGGGGTTGAATCGATATCGATAGGGAAGGACAAGAAGATGACGGTGATCGGAGACGTAGATCCGGTGTCGGCGGTGGAGAAGCTGAGGAAACTGTGCAATCCGAGAATAGTGTCTGTGGGGCCGAAAGAAGCGGAGAAGAAGAAGGACGAGGGCGGGAAGAAGAAAGAAGATGAGAAGAAGAAAGAGGATAATAACGTGGTGGTTATGAAGGTTCCGGCGGCGGCGTATTATTACACGCCGCCGTATGATCACCAGTATTACCACTACCCACCGCCGTCTCCGTATTATCACAGCGTGGAAGAGGATCCGAGAAGCTGTGTTATTTGCTAAGCTAATTCTTCTTTGTCTTTTTTTTTTTTTTTTTTTTTTTTTGTTAATTACGTGTAGGATTTAATCTTTATATGTGACGTTGTTGTTGGCATGTAAGTGAATGAATGAATATTTTTAGTAATTTTTATGAACATAACTTCGTCATGATTTTTTATGTTATATATATTTTTTTTCCAAGCGGAGCCTACATAAAACTTGCATTTACAGGTATACATTTTCCATCTCTCTCATATTTTTTTTGCCAGCAAACAAAAATTTTGACAAAAAATGGGGGAAAAATTACTATTAGTTATGCTCTAAATATAGATGATAATGATTGTAAGTTTGAATTTATCATGATCAGAATTATTGGCAAGAATTGATTTAACAAGCACTAAATTAAAATCCAATTTGTGTTGTGCATTTATGGTCCCCAGATCGAAAAGAGTGGTACGTTCATGCATCATATGGGCTAATTAACGAGGGATGTAACCATGTATCAACCTTGTCAAATCCACTTGCGTTGAATTAATTAAGCTAATGGGACCATTAACCTGGCCTTTAAGTAATTAACTAATTAAACTTTCTTGGCATACGTAGTTAATTTGTTACTCGATCGTGGAGTAAATAAACAGTAAGCCTCGTACGTGTCTCACTGTTTCCTATGTAGTATTCCTACTTGACAAACCATTGACAAACTAGACATATCATGTTTCACACTAATAGAATAATACTCCGTATATAGTATGATCTCACCGAAGTAGTTCAAGAGGCAAATGAACTCTTTTGTGTGGGAGAATTTTAAGATAACTCAAGTTTGATTCCCTCAAGCCTAGTATTCATAATATTTTAAGTTTGACTTCTTGTAGAGCTGCATATTTGATCTATTTATTTTGAATTAGTCCATTATAGACAATTTAAATATATTTTTTTCTCTTTATAGTCTTTTGCCAATTCAATTAGAGTACCATGCACATTTTACTCAGAACACACTTAGAATATGTATGAGAAATAAGTCATCTACACATGCTTATATCACTAAAGAAACTTGTATGATGGCATGAATGACCTATGGTCTATTTCCAAAATGTGGATTATTATGAAAAGCAAATGGGACCATGAACTCTTGGCTAAACTTTCTAGGACGGCATATAGCCTAGGACTTTTATTTGTACTAGTGCTCGTTGTGGTTGCGTGTTTGATTTGCATAACGTTATTGTTCATATGTAGTATATGTCTTCTTCATCGTCAGTTTGACGTATTGTATTGAGGAACAGCTCTGATCTAATGATCAAATATAATCTTTGTCGTTTGTTCGTAGGGGTGGCTTCAATTCTATTTGTACAACAGGTTAGCCAGGCACTACTTGTCCTCTAATTCTATTTTAGAGATAATACCATCTGAGATCCTCCGAGTATAGTGATTTTGTTATGTTTAGTCCTAAACTTTCAAATTGAATTCGTGCATGTCCAAGTTAACTATCCATGTTGCTTTAAGTTTTGAAATTTAACCAGTCGAGGTCCATAAGGTCTTTGGTGTAAATATATTTTGTTAATTATAAATAAAAGAGTTTCCTATTAAAGTATATGTTTTAAATATTTTGCAAAAGAAGACTCATTAATATTGACTTTACTTTTCAATGACGTGGCATCTTCTCCTTCATCGTCAGTGTACAACATCTATACATCGGCGACGGTGCATCGAATATTAATCCTTAAAATTAATGTATAAATCATGCCAAGTTGAATATAAACTATAAAGAGACGTCTATATATGAGCAATATAATGATGTCAGACTCATCAAGTGGGAAAACAACTCTTCTCTCATAGTTATCATCAAGTCTTCAAGTCCCTTTCTCTTTAAAGGAAATGGACATTATAATAATTTGGTCAAGTTGGCAGCAGATTCTGGAGGGTAGAAGTTGGGAAAATAATTAAGTAAATATAGTCATGTGGTTAAGTCAAGATCTGAGATTTAATTGTCTCCTGTTGTTAGAACCTTGTTTGGATTAAATAATCTCTCCTGCTTGGACTGTAGTCTACTAACTATGTTAAAGAAATGAACTTCCTAAGAACTAATTAACTTCATTTGCACCGTTGGAATCACGTTACATTTGAATCTAATATAATTTGGCATTAAGAGAAAGACACAAAATGGAGTAGTATTGGTTTGATTGAGAGGACGATAAATAGTTGAACTTATGTAAAGGATCAATATTAAATGAACTTGAGAACGGGTACATAATTAAATGGTTGAAGGGAGTTGCTTGTAGTGATGAGCTTAAAACGCAAAAGTCAAAACCATCAAATGGCCAAAGAAATTGATAAATTAGTGTGTGGATCATAATAAAAAGTATATTTTTAATATATTAAAAATACATTATTCTTTTCAAAAAGAATATATTATTCGTGTATTGAATATACATTATACAAAATAATATATATTTTTTGAATATAATATACATTTAATATATTAAAAGTACATTATTTATATACTGAATGTACATTATTTAAAAGTATGGTTCACACGCTAATTGAAACAAGTTCAATTAGCCCTGTTCAATTAGCCCAAGAATGAACGGATTCAGCACCTTCTTATGGCCCAGTAAAAATATGGTTAGTTTAGCCTATTAAATGAGCTATGGCAAATTATTCTGTGGATTTGGGTCCACCTTGCAAGGTGGATTTAAGTCCAAAAATATATAATTTATATACTAAATGTTTACAATTTACATACTGAATGTTCATAATTTACCTATTAAATGTTTACAATTTACATACTGAATGTTCATAAATTATATATTGAATGTTCACAATTTTATAGATTAAATGTTCACAATTCAAATTGTGAACATTTAATATATAAAATTATGTATTTTCAATCGTTATGCGTTGGACCCGTGTCCAGCATGCATGCTGGACACGGGTAACAGTGTCGTTAGGCACTGTTATCTCCTTTTTTTTTTTTTTTTTTTAATAATAATTTCAGACCGCTTCGTTATAGGAGTATATGTTCATAATTTTATTACTATATGTTACTAACTGTACATTCATAACTCCATAACTGTACGTTCATAACTCTATAACTGTACATTCATAACTCCATAACTGTACATTCATAACTCCATAACTGTACATTCATAATTTTCGAAGCTCTATGTTCACAATTTTAGAGCTCTATGTTCATAATTTTATCACTATATGTTCATAATTGTAAGTTCATAATGTCAAAGCTCTTTGTTCATAATTCGATCAATAACTGTACATTCATAATTCCATAACTGTAGATTCATAATCTCATAACTGTAGATTCATAACTCCATAACTGTAGATTCATAACTCTATAACTGTACATTCATAACTCCATAACTGTACATTCATAATCTTCGAAGCTCTATATTCACAATTTTAAAGCTCCATGGTCATAATTTTATCACTATATGTTCATATTGTAAGTTCATAATGTTAGAGCTCTGTGTTCATAATTTCATAATTGCATAACTGTACATTCATAACGGCATAACTGTACATTCATAATCCAAAAAAAAATAATGCCGTTAACAGCAAAATGCGCGCATTTTTTTTTAACTAAATGACGCGTTTTTTTTGAAAAACGACATCGTTTTAGGCCCGCATCCACAATTCATTGTGGACACGGGTCCAGGGCATAATTTGCCGTGTATTTTGACCCGGGTCTAACTGACTATCAATGAGCTATTTAAACGGCCCAATTAAATGATTCCACCGTGTCCCAATACAAATATTCAAAGTATGAAGATCTGTTTGTTATTTTTTTAATATAATAATTATTGACTATTTTTTTTTTAAAGTGAAAAACAAGACAGAACAAAAGAAAGAAAAGAGAATTATCTAATCCTGTGAGAGTAGCACCCCGCGTCAGCCTTGATTAAGTCTTCAAGCCCCTTCGGTGCATCTTCAAGAATGATCTTGTCTCAATTGCCAGCTTGTCCCATATTAGCTAGTCAGTCTGTGCAACGATTTCTTTCTCTAAACATGTGATGAAATACAATATGTTGAAAATCTTGAAAATGGAAATGCACTCTATGATCAGATTGGATCTCAATTCACCTCTAGTGCCTGAATCCTTCATGATTTTAACCCCCACCTCCGCATCGAGCTCCACTACCACTCTCTCATAGCCTAGATCCGTTAGGAGCCGTAGACCCTTTCTTAGGTTATTGACTAGTTCTATGATTCCAATTATTTACTATATTTAAAGACTATATTTTCAATTAAGAGTTTATTTGGAAACTCAATAAGTGATTTTCGAAGGTCGTTATTTTATGCATTTTTCTGTATTTGGGTTGCAAAAAAACAAAACAAAACAAAACAAAAATGAAGTCAAAGAGAATATTCATTATGGTTAACTAAAAAAGACTCACACTTCGTCTGTAAATAGGACAATCCATGTGTTAGTTAGGGAAGCTTTGTTCATTGCCAATCGTAGGGAGTGAAGGATTGTGCCTCTATCGTCCATTCTTTCTATTCTTGCGATTGACCTTTAATTAATGAAGTTGTTTTATTCTCTAAAAAAAAACCACTCTGACCTACAAATTTTAAATTTTTAGTTGGAAGACATTTTTTATGTTTGACTGAAAGTTAAAAAACTACATTTTTTGTTTGGTCCATTTTTTTAAAAATGAGTGTATTATTTGTTATACAGTAATAATAATAATTAGTGGTATGGTGGCGATGATCAATCGCTAAAAAATGACATGGTCAATTTTATAAATATTAGTATAAGGTAATTAACTTAGGGATTCCATGCATGCATCTATTTCTTTAATGTAATAAAATTAATTAGACCAAACATTTTCTTTTTGCAAACTAGCACGGGTAACCCAATTGAACATAAGATTATTTGAACAAAAAGAAGCAGACAAGCAATGAAAACGAAGGCGATGACAAACCTATCCAAAAGTGAATTAACAAAACTTAGAATAATTCAACCAAAAGTAATATCTACTATCTAATATCATACAAACTGCAATAATAAGTATATAGATAATTGTTTTTAGAAAAAGTGCAAATTAAACATTAATTTTAATGTCAACTATAATAAACTTTTCATATATAATCTTGCATTGATATACTTTGAATTACTTATTTAAATACAAACATTGGACATTAA